GATACGGAGGATGCTAAGGATGCAGAGGATATTGCGGAGGCAGAGGCGATGATTGACAAGGACTCGGAGGATAAGATGGAGGTGGAGAACAAAGTGGAAGATAACACGGCCAGTACGAAAGGAGTGGGCGTGAAGGGTGTAGGTGTGAAAGCTGGAGATATGAAAGAAGTGAACCTTTCGCGCGTGGGCGTGGAAGGTGCGCACATGAGTGTGGACGTGGGCGTGGAAGGTGCACATGTGAGCGTGAGCGTTGGCGTGGAAGGTGTGCGTATAGAAGGTGCGCGCGTGAGTATGAAAGGTACACATGCGAAAGGTACACATGCGAAAGGTGTGCGCGTGAAAGGTGCAGGTGTGCAGATAGGAATTCCTCCTGATGCCGAGATCATTAGTCTTTTGTCGGATGAGGAAGAGGCTGAGGAAGCAGAAGCTCGCCACAGTGTTTCTATGGAAGTTATTGATATTTCTGATGATGAAAAGTAGTTACAAGTTGGATTAGAAAGTAAATAACATGGACTCTTGTAAAATTAGAAAGTAAATAAATTAGACTCTTGTAGTACTTTATCGAAACCGTCCTCCTTCTTATTCGGAATCCATTCTAGAAACAGACGCAGTGAGCGTAAATGCTTCGACGATGATTTAGCGTCAATGCAGAATCTTGAGTTGAGAAACTCGAAGACATGTTTATCTTGCCAGTTCTTGTGACGCGCCTTCAACGCCTCAACTAACTCGAAGAATCGCTTTCGGCGGGAAGCATCCGTCTTCTCGGCATTACTTGCACCCTGCCACTCTGCTCCCCACTTCGCTCGAAGCTCTCGAATAGACAGATGGCCCTTGAGTCCATTCGAGAATTCTGTGTATACGTCCTCGAGAGAGATATTCTTGAGAGGAGCCAAGCTATAGGTTGGCACCCAGCGATCCGGCTTCTTCACTGAGGCGGATGTCGTCCATGTCCACTGATGACGATGGACACATTCAGCGCCGTACCGACTTAAGAGTGCTTGTCGAGCTGTTTCCTGGATAGCGGAAGCACATGGATCCTTTAGTGAAGATATGGGTAACTCCGGATAGTGAGCTGGAGAGAGCGGCCTGATTGTCGGTGGAGAAGAAGAGGCTGTTGAAGGGGAAGGTAGGGAGGTTGACAAGGAGGAGGAAGAGGTGGCCATAGAAGGAGCAGATGTACTGTACACTTTAATTCAATTCGTCGGTCACGGGTCACAGAGGATCCGAAATCGACGAAAAGTCACAAGAGTCACAGCGAAAATTGAGAAAAAGTCCCCGGCGGGGCCCCCGCCAGCCTCCCGCCGCAGCTCCGCCGCGGCGGCAATTACCATATATGGTAATTCGACGAAACCATAATTTCGTCGGACCGGTCACAGGTCACATGGCCCGACGAATTGAATGAAAGTCTACAGTAGCTGGTGGTAGTACTTGTGGGGGCAAGGAAAGAGTAGAAGTTAAACCTCGCGAACGGCGTGGTTGAGCTGTCTGATGCAGCTCAAGAACCAGATTAGTCAATGTCTGATTTTGAGAGGAAAGAGCACCAATATGGCGCCGAAACTCTTCACGCTCCCGCTCCTGAACAATGTTTGCAGAGGCAAACATTCCACGGAAGGAGGCCGCGATGTGCTCAGGAAGATTTTGGAACTGATTCCGTGCAGCTTCTTCAACACGCCGTAAGACGCTAACCGACTCCAATGCAAATTCGCGAAAGAGTGTTGTATTGAAAGGATGATGATGGAATATGCCGGCGCCTGGATGCTCGGTAAACAGCACAGCGGCATCTTGGAGCAAAATTTGGCGAAATAGGATGAGGACGTTGAGGAACTGCGTTAGCGCGTAATCATCCGCGATTCGTCCATACTGCTGGCGGCGTTCTTGAAGTGCTTTGAGCTCTGCTTCAACAAAGGGAAATATAGAGTTCACCAGCTCGGAAGGAGGTTCTAGCCACATATCAGATACAATTAGACACAAAATGAACAGCGTTAAACATACCTAAGCTGGCCCGGGGAAGGCAGTAGGCTTCTGGGCGTTTCGCATCGAAAAATGCTGCTCCGAAAAGTGCCTCTTTGGCAAGTGCGCGATCATAGCAGGCACGGTAGGAGTCGTTCTCACTCCAGCCACCAAGTGCCTTTACAGCATCCACGGAGGCGCCATATTCACGTGCTGTCTTCGCAGCATATACACGTCCAGCATGGGTGCTTTTGGAGAGGCTGATACTGTTCTTATCATGAATAAGCTTGACACGTTTATTGTGAGCTGCCATGAAAACCTTTAGTTGCGTTCAAATAGAGGAAATGGAGGGCTTACCTTGATAAGACATTTCAACATCATCCCCGTCAGAACTTGGAAATACGTAGTTCTCATACCACGGTCGACGTCCGTATTCGCCAAATGCAGGATCAGAGAAATCAGGTGCAAATTGAGGAGGTGCCTTCGCAAGAACGTGAAAGTGAACGAAGTATTGTACAGCCAAGGCACCAATCGAACAGAGGTCAACCTCGCGATGGCGAAAAGCGCCATGTTCGTCCACACGACCATGCTGGTTGGTTTTCGACTGATCGACAAGACAGATCAACGCCTGAAGTAGGATGTCAGTTAGAGTAGTTGAGAAGGACAGTAAAAGCTGTACCATTATTGATCGACCCAATCCAAGCTCCGGAACAGGCACTTGACGCGAAAAGAGATCTGACCAGAGAAGAGATCGGAGGTTGTCTCCACGAAAAGCAGTGCAAGTCGAGACAAGTAGCATGGCACGATCACGAGCTCCAATATAAAGACTGTGGGGTGCTTTACGCTGTTCAAGGCACCATGCTGATGCAGCCTTGAGCTCTTCCGGGGTGTAGTTATCTGACAACAGCCTTTAGAGTACGAACAATGTGTATTAGAAATTGGCTAACCAGCAGATGTTCCAGCTGCCTTTCGGACTTGGGCACTTGCGACTCGCTCGGGCTCTCGGGCGCGGGAAACCTTCTCAAATTCCTTAATGCGCGAGTCGTCGCGCAGTGGCTTCTGTGATTCAGGTGTCGCAAGATATAGATCCTCGTGCTGATGGTCGAAACGGTGACGTTCGAGAGCGCTGATGCACTGCTTGACGTGTTCGTACCCAACGATACTGCCAGGAATTTCCAGACCATTATGTGTCATCTGATAGGTAAGCTCAGTTGATGAATGTCTGAACGGTGAGAATAAATCTGACCTTTGGGCGCGATGACTCATACTGTAGCCAAATCGCGACTTTGGTCTGCATGACGGGTTCGCTGGAAATACGAACCCAACATGGATCGGCCTGTATGCGGCGGTCCTGATCCAGGCACCACCACAGCTTATAGCGTTTTATGTGTCGCGGATAAGCAGCTTGTGTTCCTTTATCCGCATCCATGGCATTGTGAAGGGCAAGTCGCGTCTCATGGGACTGATCGGAGAGCACACGAAGTGCTTCAGCCTCAGTGAGCATTGACTGTGGGAGAGCCGCCGGAAGCTCTTCAAGCGGATTATTTTCATCAAGTTCGCTGTGCTCTCCTTCTGTGCCGTACTCCGCTTCCCCATCATGCTCTGTATCCATGTCGTCGGCTCCTGAGAGGGAAAGAAGCTTGTCAAAGTCGAAACCATGGCTGAATGATGATTCTCCAAGCGCAGATGGTGCCGACTCTGGGAGGCGACCAAGTACGGCCGCATATTCCGCATCAAAGTTGAAAGGTGTCGGGAGACTAGAGACACGTAGTCCTGATTCCAATGGCTCTTCAATGAAGCGGAATGGGATATCAGAATGATTGTTTGAGAAGTACTGCGCGGGAGGTGATGTCGAAGAGGAGATGGGAAAGAGATGATGGGTAAATTGTGAGCTGCTCTGCCAGTTATCGTCGGTATTGGCTTCGTCCCGAGTGCGCTTACTGTAGACTTTAAATCAATTCGTCGGTCACGGGTCACAGAGGATCCGAAATCGACGAAAAGTCACACTAGTCACAGTGAAAATTGCAAAAAAGTCCTCGTCGGGGCCCCGCCAGCCTCCCGCCGCCGCTCCGCCGCGGCGGCAATTACTATATATGGTAAGTCGACGAAACCAAAATTTCGTCAGAGAGGTCACAGGTCACATGGACCGACGAATTGATTGAAAGTCTACAGTATGGGCTGGCATGAAGAAGGGAAGACCAGATCGAAGGTTCTGACGACGTTGAGCTGGGGTAAGGTTTCTGCAGACGCGTTGGAAGATTTAGCTAAGCTGTTGTGTCATTTATACACTCACCTGCGTCCACAGACTGCCATCGTTAGCGAACAATGAAGCCTCGTCCACCGTTGGAAATAGGGGACAATGGTGGCGAGGCGCTTTGTTCGGCGCGTCATTTGGCGTGGCGTTCGGCAGTTCATTGTCCGGCGGTTCATTGTCTATGATCGATTGTGGATGTCGATTGTGAGTATCGTGGTTGAGGGTGTGTCGTGTAAATGTTGTGTACAGACGATGAAAAATGGGAGAAAGCAGTAGAATTCCATGTGTAAACAATTCAACAAGTATTCCTAGAGGATGGTCGCCCGCCAGGAAGTCGGATGTGATATTGACTACAGACAGCAGTTCAGCATTGTTTTCAAGTTGAAATAGGCGGCTTACCTGCCGAAATCCAATAGTCTGACAGTTCCACTATGAAGACTGTGACTCAAAGAGGTAACTGGCAACAATGACAGATGTGGATAGAGGAGATGAGGGCAAGAACAAAGGATAACACGGTTCCCAATTAAGAACACCGATCGTGGCTGGCTATTACCCGTTATAGCCGCTAAACCCGCTTTCGAGGGTATTGTCCTGGTTAGACGGTTATCGTCTAACCACCCGCAAACGACGGTCTAACCTTGTCTAACCACAGATACAATTTAGTATATGATACACTCTATATATTGCAGTCAGTTTATACTATTCTCTGCGTTAATTTGAATCCACTATTGAAAGTGTACAACCAGAAATCAACTTGTGGAATAGATGACAACAAGCAACAGAGAGTTTTAAAATGTCTCTGATAGTATATCGGTTAGTACACGCGCCTGTCATCACGACTTTGGATCTAAAGACCGCGCGAAAGCTGGGTTCGACTCCCAGTCAGAGAGTGATCCCCCTGCTTTCCAGCCAATTTTTCTTCTTCTTTTTCATAAGAAACCAATGAATTCAACGTATTGAAAGTTGAAACCGGAGGCAGCGTCGCAGCGAGTTAGACTTAGGGTGGGGACCTCCTGGCACTGTTATTAACTTGATACCGACCCCCCGCCCCAGTTTTGAAACCGTTACTAACGGTTTCGATACAAGCACTTGCTTTCACCCGTGATGTGGTGCAGCGGTGGCCGCCCAGATCCCGCCTTTGTCCCGCCACTCTCTACTTGACTCGGCGCCAAGGTCATGCCATATTCAGACTCTAAGGGAAATATTCCTCAGTCCTTGCCAGAAAGTCCCGTTCTACTTACACACTAGTTTAATAACTGTTTGAGAACCGTTCTCCGTCCACACAAGTAAACTCACAAGAGGACAGGAGGTACATGTTGCTCCATGTGGCTCGTTCAAGCTACATACGTGTGCAAGTTCTGCGCGAAAGGCGTCGCCGACTTGTCGCACATCAATCCAGAGACCAAACCTCGTCTCAATGTGTCACGTCAGTTGAGTTAGACGCAGGATAGTGTTACGGTGCGAGGGTGTATTCGCAGTCCATAGTGATACCGTCGAAAGAGGCAGAAGAGAAGGCAGAGCCGGCGTTTTGGACAGTTGATAGCACTGACGACGCTGGGAGGACACGAGGAGTGTAAAGCCAGATCTTGTAGCCATGATCGTTTAAAAGGAATAATCTAGTGTATGAGTCTAGAGAACACAATAAGCTGGGGTAGGAAAGCACTAAACTAGAAGGACAAAGGATGCGATGAAAACATCGACGACAAGAAGCGGAAGACACGGTGCACACAAGTGACATATCGTAGCAATATCAAGAAGGAATGTCTGGTATATCGAAAGCGACACAACGGCTGATAATATAGCGTGTAGGAGAGAAAGGCAAAGCATCCTTGTAGAAGAATCCTACATGAATGCCCCAGTCGACGAACCCTACAGCGCTGACACTAAACCACAAACAAACCCAGAGACGTCCCAACCAGCGATACAAACCAGACCCGCGGACTCCCATTCGCCGTAGGAGTTGAATACAACCTTGTTCGAGCGCGATACCGACTGCCTGAAAGAGGAAGAACGGCAGTGACTTTCCTATGTGTTGCATGCCAGCCATAACATCGCCTCCGATATGTATGACACCAGAAACAAGGAACCCCACAGAAACACCGGTCAGATAGTCGGACCATGAATGCCGCTTGAGATCAAGGGCGCGCGCTACAAAGCGGCCGACGACGATAACATTCTAAAGGAACAAAGTAAGCAAACAGAAATAACACGAGGATGAATTCATCACACATACACGATTCATCAGTTGATGCCAAAATTTCCTGAGAAAGTCACGTCCCCAATAATACCTGAAGCAAATGCCACGAACGACTTACGTCCAAAACCTTCGGATAGTATACGCCTCCTTGATGCTGCCGAAAGGATCGGGCCAGTCTATCGGCTGCGAGTAGCCAGCAGCAACGTGCAGTGCGGAGACCAGGTAATAAGGGAAGCTCAATCCACAATATGGGTTAAGCGCTGAGATGAATATGTTTAAAAATCTGCGCCAATACCCTCGCGAAGCGACCGATTCTGCGTCTACATGTCTGAATATGCTCGGATTGAACGACATATACGACTGCGCGGCATCCAGCAGGAGGATACAGCACAGAACGCGTGTCAAACGCGACCGCACAAACTTCCACCGAGGGTAGTCCGAACTCGGGCGTTCAAATATATGTCGCATCTGAAGACCTGCATAAGCAACACTTCATTCCTTCCCTACAAAAAACAAAAATACCTGAAAATTCCACCCAAGCCCACGGACGCTATGAATAACGCACGCACACCAATAGCCGCGATACCACAAGCCATACTGCGTGGGATGTATCTCGTCGGCAACGTGTCGATACTCGTTTAAAGGATCCGCAAGAAGTAATAAATGCAGGGCTGTAAACCATTGCGCTGTAATAAACGTGCCCAAGGTATAATCCTGCAAGATGTCCCCAGTCGTCGATTGCAGGGCCAAGCCGCTAGCGTAACAGAATCCCAAGAAGAATAACACGCGCCAGCGTTGTGGCGGATTGAATGCTAGCGCCAGGGCAAGTAGCAAGTCGGGTAGTAAGAGATGATAGAGGGGATGGAAAGACGCTCGGAGGCCATATTGCGCCCCATCGCTCATGACAAAACGCCACAACCTAAGAAAAGGAGAGTCAGATTTAGCTGTGGCCCAGAACGTTCGACGCGCGTCGGGCTCACTGGGATGCGTGGACAGTGGACACCCAAGCTAGGGATGGCCGTCGAGAACAAGTTCACTAGTCTAAACGTTACCGTACACGTGCGCTTCGCGTGGATGATCCGATCCATCAGGGTCTCCTCGGTACCCAAGGTGTTCGGCGTTCGCCTTACCACACACTTTGAAAAGATACAGATCGTACCCTCTACCGGTAAACAATCACCCCGGAACAAACAAGTTTGTGATAGCGCGGTTTCCGAAGGGCTTTATTTAACTTAAGCATCTCATTGGCGCTTTCGAGGTGGGCCTCTCACGAATCCACTCTGCCCGTTACATGATGATGCTCTCACTGTAATATGGAAGAACTTTTTCAACGCGGACGTAGTTGTATATACGTATGACCTCGCTAGCAGTTCCTTGCACCTGGTAAGAACACAAGACTACTTACTAACGAGGAACCTTTAGAATTGCCCTGGGATTAATATTGCCTTCCGTCCGAGTCAACTCCGCTTTCGGTATTCAACTCCTCAGGCACATATGCGAGGAGGACGGATACTATGCATCTACTTGGTACTTACCCCCAGCACCATCAGTCGGTTCTGAAGTTTTCTGAAAGCTGAAATGTTTAAGGCGTTGTAAAAATAGTGCGCCCAGCGTACGTATCTTTCTGCCGTGCCACATTACGCGTCCTACAAGGCGGCAAAATGGCGCCGCCACCGTGGTCATACAGCTATAACGAAATTTACGTTTTCAGAAAGATAGCGCCACTAGCGAGTGAAATACCCACGGCAAACCGGGCCATTATTGTTTGCTCTTATCCCAACCTGAGAACAAAAGCCTTGGCCAAACCAATCAAGAATGGAAATTAGTCACCGCCGTCCAATCCAGAGCCTGCGGGTCAACCATTTCTATCGTTCCATCTAACCGGGCTCGGCCCCATTCAAATCTCGGAAACATTCCGCGAGACTAAATAACCGAAATGTGCTGTGGCGTCCTCCCACACAAGCCTCATCAGCAGGTGCGTGATGAGCCCGATGTGGCGGGTGAAATATATGTGAACGCCTTGACGTCAATTTCCCTGCACATAGAGCAAGCAGGGAACCAGACAATTGGACATGAGTAAAGATCAACTCGCAGCGAGAACGAGCCATTCGAGAAGGAACCCTTGATGATGCCAATGGTGTTCCATGCCCGGTCCCAGTGGAGGAGCGGGAGAAGCATTGATGGGCTCTACCGGGGTTGAGAGGTTACCAAAAACATCGAGCTGAGCTCGGATCGAGGGGCGCTTATGACTGATTCTGAGGCTAGACACTGCTGTCTGATAGAAGACGAAAGGTCCCCGTCTTCAGAGGACCACCACGCATCCCGAGTCGCCCAATTTCGTGCCAGTCGGCGAGGATGCATGGGAAACCGCTAGGGTTCTTGGAGTAGCGCGTGAGGCTGACCATCTGGCGTCCTCAAACGCCTGGTGCGTCATCTGACCTCCACCCACGTCGTTCCAGATCTTTGGATCGTAACTGCACATATGCGCCTCGGTACGCGCACAACGAGCTGGTTCTCCGGATTGGCCGGGCGATAGCACGTCCCACGTGAACGAGGAAAGGAAGATCCCCCGAGCCCGTTGTACAGAATCTGTCCGATCGTTTCTCGCGCCGAAGGGACGATGATTATTTGTCCCACCATCCACCAATGACGGCAGGTCGGGATGATGCTCGTGGAGTGGCGTACGAGTCACAATGGAACGAAAACACACGATCGCCATCGATATCCATTGCTCGTTTGACGAGACGCGATGCGGATCTGATATCCATACCTGCTTAATCCTGCGTTTCAGGAACCAGGAGCTCGATAAGCGAAGAGAGACTAGCCAGGGATGAGAGCCCACCTTTCGTAGATAGCTGTGTGGGCCTATTATGACATTAGCATAGAACAGAGCATCGAAGCATGTTGATCCTGAGCCCAAATGTTACGGACGTTAATCGGTGCGACCTGAGAGGACCCACCATCTTGCGTAAAGCATCAAAGACGAGGGACGTTGAAGACGACACAACCTAACAATTGCGCAATTTATGTAAACGAACTTCCAGGGTGCGGGAGATTGAGAGCAGAAAGTCCAATGAATTGAATACATCACGGTATAGATTGTTGTGATTAAATAGCTGAGAGAGAAGTGCGTTAATACACCACCGAAAGACCCTGTGACAAGATACGAAACGAACTGAGATGGATAAAGAAATAATTGCTACAACTGGTCATAGTGGCGGAGACATGATGATGGATCATGAGCAGGGCAAAGCTGATACAGGAATGTTTTCGGCGCGTCAGCACCAATTCAAGTCCTGGGCCATTCGATTTAGTATCAGGGTGGTGAGGATCTCCGTGACGAAGAGGAGACCAGCAGGTTTGATGGTCAGCGTTGCGTGATGTTCGTGATCTGGATGGCTGAGGTCCCACACCGCCACAACATTCCGACCATCCATGCACTTCGAAGATGGAATGGAAGGTCAGTTTGATGGGAGACAAGGACAATTTGGGCGACTTACCTCCATCCGTTGCTGCGAGATTCTCCATTTGTACAGCTTGCCACTCTGCGACATGAAATAGCGTGATCTGGAAGCTTAACTATCAGCGAGGAGGGCGATATGGATGAGGTGTTGACGACCTACGAGCTCCCCTCTCGTTGTTGACGCAAGAGATACGCCATCGCGACGTTGACGCGCGTGTTGCCGTAGACAA